GGAACGAATCCGGCGACCGGATGCTTTTTTTTTCATAATCTTTTGGAACTGGAGATGAATGCACAGGGGTGGCCCTTTTCAGCTTCGTGCCTAAATATACATTATGTCTCTCGCGTGCTGCTCGCCCTGCTGCTTCCGAAATGCGATGCAAGGGATGCGTCGTAAAAACAGAGGACGGAAATAGCCGGCGAAAAATCGAGCGGGAGCCGTGGCATGTAAAGCAGCTACAACCGACAAACGCAACGGCGACCGACAGTCGCAAGACGCGACGGGCGGTCCAGGACCTCCGGAGATTGTCTTTTTAATGTTCGAGAGATTTTAATGTCACTGACAACCTTCGAGAGATTTTTAATGTCAATGACGTAACTGATCTCGGACTGATCTGACGAACTGATCTCAAAAGATCTCTTCATTGTATGTTTTCGGTACTAAGGTTTTTTTTTTTTTGTAGGTGATAAAACATTTCTATCTGAGGGACGTAGAAGGTATCGATATTATTAATGTACTAATATGTATGTGGAATAAAAGTTATATTTTTTTATTATATAATATTATAACGAATTGTACATGAAGAACAATTTTTCGAAGAACATATTTTCGAGAACAACAATTACATATTAAATTTTGTAAAAAAATTATCTTTTGCTATTTATGCTATGACATTTATATAAATATTCTTGAAACAATATAATATAGAATGGAATTAATCGTTTGTTGGCTTCAAAATAACTGCTGCTAGATAAATTATCGCATGAATGATGATAACGGGATAATTCGTTAAGACGAGAATAAACACTTCTCTCTCGGTATCGGTCATCACTTAATCGGCATTAAGTGTCTATTACGTAATTCAAGACGATTATCCAGAAAGGGAGTCTCGTTTTATTACGACCAATAGATCTTCTTTGAGAGGTCGTTGTTGCGAGTCTCGCATCGTCATCCTATAAAGTCGATCAAGATCAGAAGATTTTTATAAAAGTCTTTAATTGCAAATTAAATTTGTTTGGTTTTCTGTCTTCTTGTATGAAGGCTGTTTTTACGAAATTGTAGACGCTCATTTACGAAACATTTAACGTCGGTTTATCATTCTTGACGCCTTAACGCCGACGACACGCGAATTACTTCCCGGAAAGTACCAATACTTCGTGACGTATGTAGTCGTTGACTGCGACTACATAAAGACTTCGAGAAGGCACGTTCGCACGATTTTACGTACTTGTTCGCGCGTGCGACGTTTTGGAAGGCACCTACAACGCGCGTGTGTAGAGCACACGATGATTCACTGATGCTTTTGTGCCAGGCGAGGTCTTACTGTTAGGAATACAAACGGTCGAGGTTTATTAACCTCCGGCGCGTAGGAACGACAGGATCGCGAACAATCCTAGCGGGGAATCTCTTTGCGAGCAAAGAAGAATTTAGTCACAGTTATGAGAAACGGCCGGCTGTGAAAGTAATTAACTTCACTTAGGAATCTAAATTGCGCGCGTGTCAATTGCCTATGGTACGTAGTCCTTTCAGTAATGCAGTAATCTTATTCATCAAGGGCGAATTGTACCATTTTTACCATGATGGAAAGAATTTAATAAAAAAAAAAAAAACCGATGGTTTCTGTTATTATTTATAATTAAACATTACATTAATATATAAATATTCAATTGATGATTGTTCGAATTTTCTGGCCTTTTTAAATCCAGGAAAAATATTATTATCACTAATTATTTTTAAATCGAGCGAAGGATTAAAGAGTGCATTAATAATTTTAAAATATAATAATTAATCGTCAATCATAATCGATAACAATTTTTAGTGTACGATTTTATAGTAATTCATAATAATCAAGTTTCGTTATCATTATCGACAGCGTCTATTTAGTGCGATAGGTTTAATAATCTTAATTATATTAGATCACGCCTATGCGTTCGATAACGCATTCGTTGCCTCATTTAGCTTTCGCAGCGCCGTGAACAGCCATAAATTTCCGCAACGGTTTATCGCGTAAGCCTGGTCCCAGAAACTAAATTAAGTTACGGGGTTATGAGTAATGGTTACTTGCACTCTCGTTGGTTACGTCTCATTGGTTTTCTTCCACACCGCGCTGGTGTTACGCTTAACTCGTACGCGTTCCCCCTCGAGCGCAATGAAACGCTTCGCAACCGCTCCAATTTACAAACGTAGAATGTGCAGCAGCCATTTTCATTAAGGGTATTCGTTCATAGTAGACGACGAGGATACCAAGGGGAGTCAGGGGTCACATAATGTGACATCCTGTCGCTTCATCTGCCAACCGTATTACCATATGCGCCACTTCTCGTCTTTTATAAGCGCAACTCTTCCTCTCGCCAGTGATGCTCAACATATCTCATTGAAAAATTTGATGTTTGATTGATTAGCTTTTTTAAAAAAAAAAAAAAAGATAAAAGAAAGGACGTCAAACATACACGTCTTATTATGTTGAAGAAAGTCTTTAGTACAGAAGATTTAATAAATAAATTTATACAACTAATTTAAACAAATTAAAAGATGCAATAATTTACAAAAATATAAATGATAAAAATATTAAAATTTATTTATAATGATAAGTTATTTTATATAATAAGCTATATCATTTCTATTTCAAAAAGATACCTCTCTTTTACTTTCTAGATATATCTGACTTTAAGCTCTATGCGTACACATAAAATATATATTCGCCTTTTTTCTATTTTTAAGGTTGATCGTATAATATATCTAACCGATGAATGTTCTTGTCATCTTGCAGTTTTAAGAGTCCTCGACAAAATGCTCCAGCTGTTGAATCGTTATTATCGCCGCTCGCATTTGGTTGTAACTGTTCGCCTGTTGGCGAACTCGTCTAATCTTTGTATTACCCTTCGGGAGATATCGAGACGGGCCGACGAAGCAACCGGATGCCGTTAGATACGATTTTTACGAGTGTACGTCGAGGAACGGAGCGCATAAAGAGAGCTCCGCTGCCTTATGGCGTCCACGTGCAGGCGAGAAATATACGTTTTGACGGGAACCCCTAAAATGTGTTCGTAAAATTGCGCGTCGCAATCTTGTCCCGAGCAAAGTTCCTTTGTAGAAAACTCGATTCTGATCTCGCGTTAAAGGTGTGAAAATTGAAATTGCTGCCGACTTAAGCAACCGGAGAACTTCATGACACAACATCAATTGATTGACCGAATAAAGTCTGGTCAAGTAAAAAAAGTCAAGTAAAAAAAAATTTGCTTTTAAATATTTGGGATTTTGATTATTGATTTTGAATTATTTCTATTTGACTCATATGTTAAATAGATAGAGAAATTAAAATTTAGATATTGTAAAAGATAAAATTTAGAATTGCTGCATTTTTCTTGAATAACGTATTAAAAGACAGATTCATTAATAATCGATTGCAAAAATTATTTAACTGCATAGAATGTCGTTGAAAAATAAGAATTGTAACAAATTAATTAATGATGTGACATTGAAACTTGATACATCACACGTGAGAGCGAACGCATGTTGCGCGCGTGGCGTGATGTTTGCACGGACGAAATACGATTTTGTTTAAACATTGGGGGGTTTTTCTAGCGGCCAATTGTTCCAGGTCGTACTATGTGATCGCTTCTTTTTCCAACGTAACCCAAATACCTCCTGACGAGTCATCTCGCGTCAACTCTGTTTGAGCTGCGTGGAGGTTCAACGAACTGTTATTAAAACGAGCACCCAGTTAGCTGACACAGTCGTTTGAACAGATGTTGAACGGGAAATAAGTGTTGAGCAAACGGAAAGGGATTAAAGGGATAAAATAATTGCTATTGCCAATGATATGTGTGTTGACAAACAGTGATCGTAGTCAAATTAAAAGGAAGAAATTTTCTGGCAGAAGTACGGTTAAGAGTTGATTACAGCACAAATATTTTTTTCCTTTTTCTAATCTTAGATCTTGCTTAGATTAAAAATAGAAACATTAAAAGATTTGTGATTATAAAATTTGTAATGTTTTTAATGTTTAAAATGTAATTTATTTCGATACTTTTAGAAATTTTAGAAAGAAATTGAGAATTTTATGCCTCTCTCAATTAATTTATATTGCGAAACATGATCGGGCTTTTTTCCCGTCCATCATTGCTGTTCTCCATTGATATTTAAGAGATACAAGGACATACGAATATCTTTAATATAGCACTCACCTAAATCAATAGCGTGATATTGCATTAAGGCTTTTTTTTCTGAGGGGGATGACGATCATCAGATGCCATCTGCCATTTCAATGCTCAGAATCTAAATCCAGGATTTTGATGCCGCGTCAAGTCTCGCGGCATCTGAATAATGCATATGTATTCACGCAATGTAAGAGGAGACGACCCATATATGTATGGGAAAGTGTTGAATAGCATGAAATGAAATATCGTGTTTTACATATATACAACTCCAGGCGACAGAAATAAAATATCGACGTTTGTTATATATGTCGAAACATTAATGAAACATTAATGTACATGTGGCACATATTTAAATCGCGATTATTACAAATTACAATTCAAGATGTTATAAATTACAATGTTGTAATGTTGTAAATGAAATACCTATGATTGAAAATAATTTTTTAATTTTGAAATGCAGAAAGATAGAGGAAAAAAAATTATTTTAAAACTTTAAGAGTTAAAAAGTATGTACAGTTATGTTTCTCTTGGATCTTTAAGGATGTATCGCTCACACCTATTTTTATAATTTTTATTTACTAATTGTGAAAAACTTACAGATTATTCTAAATCTAGTATTTAAAAGTAATACGCATTTAAAAAAAAGGCAGTTAAACCGCACCACAACAATTTTTTTGTATTTTAAGTATGATCTAGAATAATTTAATTTTTTTTCATCACTTTTTCAATTTAAAATAAAGATATAGTACACATCCTTAAGATGATAGAAAATGCAGTTTTCCTTTCTCCTATTATTTTCGTTAAATCGTCGTATCTCTGACGACTGCAAAGTGACTTTTTTTCTGCTTCCAGCACGCGAACAACGTGCGGAAATATGCGACGGACTACGTCGCCCGTCGTCAAGCCCGCAAGATGCCGATGACACGCTCGATAACTTCCCTGGCGCTGCCGATGAGCCAGGTAGGCGATGTGCCCTACCTGCCGAATGCTAAGGCCGGCACCTTCTTTGCCCGCGACAACGTCTCGAACTTTATCGATTGGTGCCGCAACAGCCTCGGCATCATCGAGTGCCTCCTCTTCGAGACCGAGGATCTGATAATGCGTAAGAACGAACGACATGTGATATTATGCCTGCTGGAGGTGGCACGCCGCGGCGCCAAGTTCGGCATGCTCGCGCCGTTGCTCGTACAGATGGAGAGGCAGATCGACCGCGAGATTGCCGCCGAGAACAAAGCGGCGAACGGCGCCGGTAACGAGGAGAGCGATGACGAGTACGAGGAGGAGCCCTGCCTCATATACGGACCGCAGCCGCAGATCGTCACGAATGATCTCAAGACTCTCCACGAGTTGGTGAGTGAAAATGTGATCTTGATTACTTGGAATAGGTATCTCGAAAGGAAGGAAGGATGTTTCTACACTTTCGCTTCGACGGCCGGACGAAGGTGGACGCGACGAAAAATACTTGGCGTTCAACAAGAAGCCAAATTTCTACTAAGAAGCAACCGAACAAATTCTCCCTACAAATTTCAGATCGGTTTTGAATTTTTCTTTGAATTCGAGTATCGAAATAATTTCAAAGTGTCACTTCGGAATTTGAAATAATGAGCGTCGTGTTTTCGCAAAACGCTTTTTGGAATCTTTTCACAGCCTGAAAGGAAGTTTCTCAGCGATTTCATAGTACCGATTTCGATGGCTCGCCGGCTTATATTCCGGCTTTGCATGTATTCGAATCATGCGTTTCGTCGCCACCACTGCTAACGTGTGTCGCGGCTATGAAAATAACTCGTATCCTTCGGTGTAGCCGGATGTATTTATGGCGGTCCTAATCGACGCGACGTCGAGTCATGAATATCGCGCAATCAGAAATAGAAGAGACAACATCACGATGCTTAAATTTAATAGGGTGTCGATAATCTTGCTTACTCGGTATCGGATATCGTAAGATCGATCCTGCACTTTGCGACGATGATATCGTGAAGGATAATCAAAAAAGATGACTTCTGCAATTCAGCGTATTCGAGAGATGTAGAATTAACTGCCGTATTTGAGTGAATTTTACATTTCAAGGTTAGTGATGATTTTCGATACTGATTTCTGGTCCATTAATTTTATCTTTGATACTGCCTATGTTTCTACGCAAGTAGACTTCATCTTTGGCAAGGAAAGGAATAAACCGCCGACCGCTCCCACCCTTGCGGTATGCGCGCGACCTATTCGGGATTTTATTGTCGGCCGATTATTATAAATTAACGGGTAACGATGACGTGCATATGGCGCATTAAATATCCCGTCGTGCACGCGAATCGCGCTGACGGCCCGGCGTCCCGATAACGCTATTTCTTCGGCATTAATTGCACTGCCGCTGGCGGAGAACGCGACACATCGGCTGACACACCTCCCCACGACGATGGAAACATAATATTCTCTATATTTCTCTATATTTCTCGTCTCGACGTTCCGTATTCTCTTTATACTTCCGTCATAGATATCACGATAAAGCAATGACATAACTAAAAAAGGTCCCTCTCTCGCGGACGAAGTTTAAGGAAGCGGTAGCCCTTACTTTTGACAACAATTTCAATCATTTATTTCATGCATCGTGCCGTATCTCTGAGACTCGACAAATAAGAGAAACAAGTAAACAAGTATTTAAAAAATTAAGTCTTATATTTGAGCTTGTTGTTTATATCAATGTGTTATTGTTTATAATTTGATTGATAAATTATTACCGAACAAATTACGCAAGAAATTATATTATTTTTATTGGCGTCGTTTATTAATGTCACTCCGTGATTACTTTTATGGTTAAAGGGCAATGCGGTATATAATAATAATAATAATAATAATAATAATAATTATTTTATTCAATCGAGGGACCGGCTTGTATCGACTAAAAATGTCGGATTAGCCGATTCGCGAGTGTGTCTAACGGCGGCGATTACCGGCGGCGATTACACGCGACCGGCATACGTGTTTGCGAGGCTAAATCGCGGCATTTCACGAAGCGGAATAATTCCTTCCCCAGGGCTTACAACGCCGTGGCGGGGCGATAACGTCGCGGCTTTGCTGCATACAGGAATTCCAGGACGCTTTCCCGCGATCGCCGTCGAGGCACCAAACATTCGTGGCGTATGTATTCTCGTGGAAGGTTTACGAGCGCTTTATCTTTCGAAAGAAAATTTCGACGTAATCGTAGAATGTTACGATAAATCTGCTAGTCGCGATAAATCTCTTCTTTTTACGGGAACAGGAAGAGGATTATCGTATCGTTCTACGTAAGACTACGTATGACGTACGCTGTATACAGGGTGGAAATGAACGCGAAGAATGACGCAGCAAATATATTGGACTCAAATATAATATTTTCTTAGGAAAGAACGAAACTCCATGAACTTGTTATTAAAATATAAATTTTACATCAAGTAAAAGAAAAATCGATATTTGATCGAAGATATCGCGTTAATAATAATTTAGATATTAATATTTTTAAGGGGATATTCTCAGAAGTTTCTACTACTAGTAAGAAATTAATAGCAGCGAAAAAAATGAGTCAAAAATTACGAAAGAGAGATATATATATATAGCTCATGATATATAATAATTGAAAAATTTTTAAGTCTGAAACACGAGCATAAAAGGATATTACATTACGAAATAAAAAACGGAGCAATAATTTTTATATGTTAATGTGCAATCGTACAATCTACGTTGGTATTGTGATATCGATAAAAATAATTATATGTGGCGTATCCAAGCGAGAAATATCGGAGCGACGTCGATGCTTGGATAGCAATGTCATTAACACCCTTTGTAGATAGCGCGAAGCGCTGCGAAGCGTTAGCGCGTGTTACCGTCGTAAATCTTGTGGGAGCTTGTCGTTACAGCGTATTGTGCGTTGATTTTCGCGATCGGTCGCCGATATCCCCGGATAAATTTCACTTTGCGCCGCGGGGAGGCGAAGCGACGCCGCACGCGCTGCCTTCAAGTAGTAATACACTGTGAAAGCGTTGCCCTCCGATTCCAATAAAGTAGAGGCAAGCTGAGAGCCGAGCTGAGAGCCGAGCTCCGCTTTGTCGGCTCCGTAATTAACAGAAACGTTTACCTGCTAGCTGCGAAAGTAACGAAATATGCCAGGGACCGGACGTAGCCTCTCTAATGCTTGTCGCAAGTGAACGAATTTTCAATCAGAATAAAATCCGTCCTTGATTTTTACACGACTAATTTATAATTTTTCATGTTTATATAAACATAAAAAAATGTAAAAAAGTAAAGACAGAATACAATTTATAATTTTAAAAAATTTAACGTAAAATAATTTGACGTAATACGATCTTGTTGGTATACAAAATTTTTTAATCGTTTCAAAGTATTTTTATATATTACACGTCACAAATCTTGCTCTTGCTTAAAGTCGGCCCTGAGTTCAGGATGTGTTGAATCGCGATTGAATCAAAACATGACGATTACGTCGTCTCGTGTCAAGTGTCGGAGTGTTTCAAAGCGGCAACTCGCCGTTTTATTGATAATTAATCTAATCTCTCCTTGCACGGCAAGACACGACGATGTGCGTTCTCCGAAGAGTTCGCTTTTGCATTAAAGCCTTTCCTCCTTGACAAGTAGGCAATGTGGCGGCGGTGATTCAAGGAGAGAGAAGAAAACGAGCGAGACCGGAGGAGTAAGAGCATGTTTTAACCATCGATTAGACTCGCTCTTGTCACGCGTATTATCTTATCGTGAGCGTTACGACTTTGTTAGCCGCATTTGATTTAAACAACTCCGCGACTCGCCTAATCGCGTTTGAGATGCGATAATCGCGAATTGCCATGATAATGCTACGGAGTACAAGAGCTCTTACATCAAGTTTTAATGATAAATAATTATCCATTGAATAACTCCTATTTCTATTTCGTCAGCTTATAACAAATGATTAAATGACGTCGGAATTTAATAAAATATATTATTTGTAACGGTATTATAAAATTTGTAACAATTTTTCTTATCTAGCTAAACATTGATAAAGTTTTTGTTTTTAATATAAAACTCATATAATCTTTTTCTTCGTTTATATTTATGGTAATAATTAGTCAGTCGTATAATTTATAATTGCCAATTCGTAATTTCTTTATTTTTTTTATATAATATTTTCGTTTAAGATTACTATACTTTTTTTTTTATTTTATTTTATATTTTATTTACATCAACGCTTGGATTTTACTCGCATTGTTCAAAATTATGTTATATTTTGTTATATAAAAAAAGTACACGGAGAACAATTTTGCTAGCAAATTTAAAAATCTGGCCAAATCTGAAAATAATTTTTTTGTTGGCCCATCAGAATTATTATATAAAATTCTTAAACATAATAATAATAATAATAATAATAATACTAAAATTATTTATTTCCTAGCAATCAATTTGACTATACATAATAATTTTAAAAATCCAACAAAGATTATTTTGAAATCTGTATCTGGCCAAATTTTTAGATTTGGCAGAAGCATTCTTTTCGTGTAAAACTAGTAAGTTCTAATGACATGTTTACGGAAACTTCAGCTCGCACGCTCGCGGACGATTTCCGTGATTTACAATGACTCGGCGGCGATGTGTTCCGCGTCTCCTGGGACCCATGATAAGATACCGCGTTTAACAAGGTTGAGTCTAATCGATAGCCAAGGTAAACTGTGCAATTCTATACCACCATGCGGCACACGAGTGTGCGTTTCGTTCGCTCGACGGGCGATTGCCGTAAATGGCGCAATGCGAAACCGCGCGCGTTGTCGTTGCCGCCAGCGTATTCACTTATCACGGAAGCAGATTTGCAATGCGTAAGAAGATGGCAGATTTTTTTTTCTAAAATTTATATTTCAATTAGATTTCCGTAGATGATCCTGCGAAAGGATTATACATATAATTATATTTTTTTCTTTTCGCGAAACAGTTAGCTGCACTGCGAGCACTGTTCGCCCATCGCAAATTTTCTGTTCTCGTCAATTTAACAAGCCTGTGATTTCAGCACGAATCTTTAATTTTCATTTTCCATATAGCACTATTAGCTTTAAGCTATATATGAAATTTTTTACTTTTATACATTAAACGAATTTGAAGCTATATAATTTCAAAGCTGATATATAATTTATTAATTTTTATTAAAAATCATCTCTAATTACATTTCTTATTTCTAGCAAGATCTTGTTTAGTTATTTTTTGCAATCAGATTTAACTATAAAAAAATGAAAATATTTTTACATGTGAGACAACTATATTACAAATAAATGATATTCAAAGAAAAAAATATTATATCAAAAATATTTTGCGAAATCTATGGTAGATTTCTATTGCGAGTTTTCAGG